CCGGCAAGTAAGCAAGTATGTGTGTAGTGCAAGCGCTCTGAGGCTATCAGAGAAGCGGGTACTGTCTACAGCTTGATTCATGACAGTATTCGAAATTCGATCGTGTTTTCTCCCCTCCAAGGAGATATATTTATCTAGTGGTGCCGGAGAATCTGGAAACGTCAGCAGTGATTGATTGCGGCCTCAAAGGCTGTGATGTGGCGGGAACGGAGACCGGCAAAGCCTGCTATCAATATCCAAAACCTCAAGTCTTCCGATATGAAAAAAAATCCAGGGCCAGTGTTCTGGTGGCTACACTTTGGGTTCATCGCTGCGCTCAATCACAATGCCCGGTCCTTTCTCAGCGTTGGCCTTACAAATCTCCGATGACAGCGAGAGGTACTTGGCACTCGGCCAGCCCAGGCTGAACCAATTCACCTTCCTGAGCACGGATTAGCCGCAGAATGGCCTAGACGGAATTACGATTGAAATCTCTCTATATATATATATATGCTACCCCCCAAATGTCGACCTTTTTGTTGGTGTCAATGTTATTTGCGGTGTTTTATGCCTTTTTTTGTGCTTTGGGGAAAGCGGCAAAAATAGGTGCCTTACTAAAGTCTATTTAGATTCTACCTGGAAAACAAAACATCCTGGGAAAGGAAGTCCTCTTTAAAATCTAATTTGAAGTCAGCATCACAAGTAAACATATTGTTCCAACAGGAAATCCTATATACATCATCTTCAACACTAGAAATTATGTTAGGATGTGTCACTGTTAATGTCTATCTAGATTCATCGGAGATCATAATAGTAGAAAAAGGGACCCACTTCAAAGTCGAACTTGAAACAACAATTCCAATTCAGAATATCATTTTAACAAACGCCTGCTTAAATTATCGCTAAAACTAGACACTCCGCTAGAAACATATCATTATTAAACTATATTTAATGTATGATCCAAACTACAACTAGAACACGTGTAAATTCCAATTTCAAATTCGACTTTGAATCGGGCACTTATTTAGATTATCTTCATACTAGAAATGGTGCGAGGATTAGTTTCTCACTAAACTCCACTTAAAGTTTGTAGAGAATTGAAAAAATCTGGAAAAAGAGACCCCCTTTAGAATCTGATTTCACAAAAATTGAAATGATAGATTGAAACGTGCTCAATTTAATTGGTTGATCAACATTTAACATAATTTCATAATGACATAATTCTAGTAGAGTTTCTGGGTTTAACGATAATTTAGATGAGCTTGGTTTAAAAGAAAGGCTGTAATTGGGTGTGTTACAAGTCTTCTTTGAACAGGAAAACCTATTTAGACTCTCTTTAAACTGGAACATCCTACTAGGATGAGTTCCTTACTAAGAAAGAAGACGAGGAGACCACCTTTAAAGTCTAACTTGACATCAACATGCCAAGTAAAATTACTCCTTGAAAGGGATATCCTATTTAAACTACTTTTTCCAGAGTTCATAGGTATTTGCAGTGTGTTCTGCCTTTTTTGGGGCTTCGGGGAAGCAGCAAGAAACAGGGCACATGTCCAACCACAATCTGCAAGCTTCAGGTTAAAAACACTTTTCCAGCGAATCTTGAATCCAGGCCCGAATGAAATTTTAGTCGGTTTGGATCTACCTCTGTCCTATTTCTGAGCCGAGGTTTGGTCAGAAGATGCCTAAAACAACAGAGAGTCAGGGCCCCAAACCGTTTCAAGCATTGAAATCCTTTCTGAGAGCAAAGGTCCCTCCCCCAAGGGGGCCCCAAACTGTTTAAAGCCTTTCTCAGAGGAAAGACCCCCCTCAAGGCCTAAAACCGGTTAAGCCGTTTTAACCGTTTCAGCACTTTCTCAGAGGAAAGGTCCCCCTACCCCCCAAGGGCCAGGGCCCCAAAACCGTTAAACCAAACCGTTTTAACCCTTTTCTCAAAAAAAGACTCCCCCCCAGGTTCTGACCAAAACCGTTTAAACCGATTAAACCGCATAAACCCTCTCTCAAATGAAAGCCTTCCCGCCCCCACCCCCCCCCCCCCCCCCCCCTCGGATTCCACCTGGGAGAGTTCAAACCGTTCAAAAAAAATAAGGTTTCAACGGGTTCAACGGTTTTGGCCCGGACCTTTCCTGTCAGAGAGGGTTTAAAACGGTTTAAACGGTTTTTGGCCCAGACCTTTACTCTGAGAAAGAAGGTTTTAACGTTTTGGGCCCAGACCTTTTCTCTGAGAAAGGGGTTAAATAAACGGTTTAAAACGGTTTTTCTCAGAGAAAGGCTTCAACGGTGTTCAAAAGTTTTTGGCCCAGCCCAGACCTTTTCTCTGAGAAAGGGCCCAACGGTTTAAACGGTTTAAACGGTTCAAACGACCTTTCCTTTCATGGGGTTTAAGCGGTTTAACAGTTTTTGGCCCAGACCTTTTCTCTTTTTAACGGTTTAAACGGTTCAAACGTGTTTTGGGCCCAGACCTTTCCTGTCAGGTTTAGACGGTTTAAAAAACGGTGTTGGGCCCAGACCTTTTCTCTGAAAAAGGGGTTTTAAAAAAAAATTTAAACGGTTTAAAATGGTTCACCTTTCCTGTCAGAGAGGGTTTGAACGGTTTAAGCAGAATTGGGCCCAGACCTTTTCTGAGAATGGGTTTTAACGGTTTTCAAACGGTTCAAATGGTTTTGGGGCCCAGACCTTTCCTGTCAGAGAGGGTTCAAACGGTTCAAACGGTTTTGGCCCAGACCTTTTCTCAGAGAGGGTTTTAAACGGACGTTTTAAACGGTGTTGGGCCCAGACCTTTTCTCTGAGAAAAGGGTTTTAACGGTTAAATGGTTTTGGGTTTTGGGCGCAGACCTTTACTGTCAGAGAGGGTTTAAAAAAAAAAGGATTAAACGGTTTTGGGCCCAGACCTTTCCTCTGAGAAAGGGGTTCGGAGGGAAGTAGGGGGCATCACAGATGAAGACAGACAAACATTTGGGGGGGGGGGGCTCCAGTGTATATATATACTATACATATATATATATATATATATATATTATGCATATACATATACACGTGCATATATGTATACACATATTCTTCTGGGTTCCAAAGGCCGAAGCCCGGTGAATGTACCCGAGGACCCAACAATCTCTACTCGGCTCTTTGGCTGCAACTGCCGATGGCTTGCTTTGAAGCAGTATGCTTTTATAGAAAATATGTGGTGGCTGTTTGCATGGTGAGCTACCATCAGCTGGACGCTAGCTACCAATCCGAACGGCTGCAACCCATGGCCTCTGAACCCACGCCCAGTGCCAACCCCTTCAGCCCCGGGCGAGTCTTCATGCTCTGGATACTCCTTGTCCTTCTCCTTTGACCTGCAAGTTGTGTCTCAAACATCATCGCATTGCACAAAAATGCTCCATAGCTACCGTCGTCTTGAAGGAGGCTACACCCAGTTTTGTTATTGCAGCAATGCCCCCTCTGGGATCTATGAGAACTGGACACTTGCAGCCGAGGCTCGCGGCAGCCTGCCTTTGCACGGAGGATTTGAGGAAGGATGGGAAGGAAGGTTGAACGCCAGGAATATGGTGGACAGCCGGCCAGGATAGGCAAGGGTCAGGCAAAACATGCATGGGATGCGTGCACACCGAATTGCAATTCGACACCCATCGCAAAACCGCCGTTGCACTTGCTTCCTCTGGCATCCCCAAGGCCCCGGCGCGGCGCTCTCTGTCGGGCCTTGCGAGGCCAACAAGAAACTTGGGGGCCGCCTGCATTCACGTGACTCATCGAGCCAGGCAAAGGCCTAGAAACCATCAGCTAGGTCTTTACAAGGAATCCACGCGCTGCAGCGGACTGGGCATTTCAGCCATCCACGGCTCCACGGCTCCGCTTCAAACGCCGTCCATTGAGCCAACCTCTCCGGCGCTCCCATGCCGCCCCTTGAGCCGTCCATCCACTTCAGCCCGAGGCCGAGGCCTTCGGTGCGGGCCTCGCATGCACGGAGCGGAGCCATGTGCCGAGCCATCTGAGGCTTTAGATTCGGAGATCCTCCGCATGGAGTCTTCGAAGGGATCCGCTGGAAAAACACAATGCATCGGTTGAAAAAACATGTCTCACCTTCATTTGAACGCTGCAACTGGGTGAAATAGAGAATCCCCCCGGCCTTTGGATTGCCAAAACAAGAATAGGAAAATAGGATGCCAGCCAATTGGAAGGGTCTCCATTTTGAGAAACACCGTCCACCATTGCAGTCCACAACGCCTTTTTTTGTCATGGCCCCCTGTCTCAGAAGGAAACTGAGTGGACCATTGTAGACCCTCATGCTGCAATGTTGAATCGATTTGAAGTGGGCCCTGCCTTAGTTATAGATATATACAGATACGAAATAACATCTGCATGGCCACGTCGTCAATCCCGGAAAGCATGAGATGCCTTGTGGGTGCCTCGAGGCGCCACGTCCTTTTCCCCGGCCCCGCCTGTACTGCACCCTGATGCATGGTGAGGGCGGCGACCTGTACAGCAGCCGCGCCGGCCTGGGGAGTGGAGCTTAACGGAGACGAAATGAGCGAAAGCTTGGTGGGGCACCTCGGTTTTTCGCTTGGGAAAGAAATGGATGGCAAGGTCCTTTCCAAGTGGATGACATTGACCATCTCAGCCCAAAGATCACCAGGCCGAGCATGGTGCTTGACGTTCGGCTGTCACCTCCCTCATGCGCGGCCGCCTCATCAAGACCCGCCAGTTGACAGCAGCGCTTCATGACAGCATGCTCGATGTCCACAGTAAGCTTCTCGTAGCCCATGCCCTTGTCCACACTCCTCGCACAGGCACTGCACTCTACACTCTGCACTCTGCTATGCGTGCAAGCAATCAGACTGCAGCGCTTTTCAGAAAATATGTAGATATATGTATATATATTATATATAATATTTATATTTATTGTGAGCATGACCCGTTCCTGCAGCCAAGAAGTTTCCTGGCCTCATTGGTCTAACAAACATCTACTAAAGGATGTGAACCTGCCCTGGCGACGCATGTATCTGAGTCCGCGCTCCCGTCACCGAAAAGGCAGAAGGCAGCAATGAGCACCTCGAAAGCGTGAGCCCTCGCTGATATGGTGCAGACCTTTCTCACTTCCTCTTAATCAGAATGAATCATAGTCAGTCCTCTGTAACCAGGGGACCGTCAAGCAAATCTTGAGCGGCTTTCGTGAAACAATGAAGAATTGAATACGGCTCGGATCAGCACCCCATCTGCCACATACATGAAAGTGTTCAGCGTCATTCGAGGACCCTCTAGGACCTGCGCATTGTCCTTCTTCCTGTCAAAGTCGAATTTGATCTCGTACGGAATTCCCTCGTTGCGCTTTGCAAAGCCGCGGGCAAAGCAGGCACGGCTGATACGGCAAGTGGGCATCGCCAAGCTCCAGGCCCTCGAATTCTTGGTGTTGATGACACACTGGCAGAAAGAGCTGATGCATTGCCTACGCCCTTAGATTCAATGCACTGATGATTGGCAGTAAGCCATATCTACAGTTTCACTGTACACAACGTTTGCTAAGTGCTGTACTAAGAAGCCAAGCACATGTGCGGATTGCGAGTGATTTCCTCAAAGAAAGACTACCACGGATTGCCAGACATTACGACGATTTTTTGTCACCTTCGCGGCATTCATAGCCATACATGTCTCTGCTCAATTGTGACCCGTTCAACTTCCTTCTGCCGTGTACACTTCCAAAGGTGCTGAATGGAACCAAAAAGCTGTGCATAAGGATGCACCATTCCTTCGGAACACCTGCTTGCTCAGGGGTCCCAAGGGAGCGTTCATGTCCAATGGATATCCGAATGGACAAACAAAAACCCCAAAACACGGGCCTCCGTAATCACGTCCTCGTTGACGGCCCGCAAAGCAGCCATAAAGTCCCTTTCAGAGTGACTGATGCGGGGCGCCGACCTGAGGCCAAACTGCAAAGCCGCAACTCGGCTCTACCGCATTCCCGCTGCTGTCTCTTCACGTGTAATGCCCTCCCAATAGACAAACCCTTTCAAGCTCCCCAAAATCCATACTTGTTGGCCAACGCATGGGTGAGTGTCGCTGTTCCAGCCCTTCCTGAAGTACAAGTAGCTAACAATCAAGCTTGACCATGCGCTTCATCATGCAAGGTGTGGCCTTTCAAGAATCTAAGCTTGCAAGTTGAGAAAAGCCTGACCTTGCCTTCCACTTCCTGATGGGAGCTCAGCCGGATGGCTAAAGAAACTGCTCTGGCAAGAACATTGGTCAGCAGAGAGGAACTCAGCTGGGAAGAAAGAAACTCAGCTGGAAAGACTGCTTTCCACTGGCATTCACTGACTGCTGCAATCCACCCAAAGGGCCCTTTGTGGTCAAGCGCCACTCAGCTCCCTAAAAAGGGGAAAGGAAAATGGGCCACACAAGCAGGAGCACATGGTTTGCCATGAGTGCAAACAAGATCTGCTCGAACATCATGCATTTCTGGTATTTGTTGTCCAGTCACCAACCCAAGAAGTTTTCAACTTTGAACATCCAGAAAGATGTTGGACCCCAAATGCCCTGCCCGCGGAACTAGGCCGTTCGCAAAACTTGAATGTGGCCAGAGTCTGACAGCCCGTACGCAGCCTCGACGGGCCGGCAAGGCGGGAAGGCCGTTCCCATCCAAGGAAGGAAAAACTTGGAAAAAAACAAATGTTACTTGCTCCTGCTTGCCCCAAAAAAGCAACCCTCAAAACATCTGGTCATGGCGTACCCCCAGTGAACATCCCAATCCCCACTGAAATAGGTTCTAAAATGGGTGGTGCACCCCAAAATGGGATCCACCGTCAACGTTGGCCCTTTTCACCACCCCAAACCCTAAGCCACGGCACCATTTTTTTGCCACACCCGCCTCCTCTTGGGAGCGGTGCGGCGGCTCCAGCCGCCTATATTCGAGCCCCTTAAAAGCGGCGGCTAAGGCACGTCTTAAGCCGATGAGTTATATCTGATTGATTAGCATATATGTTTCTTATATTTGTCTAGGAACTTTATAAACTTACTGAAATTTCAGCCCGCTGGTAGAAGGGGGAAGCATTGCTTGATCTTGTCGTTTTTATCCCAGACTAAAAAATGCTGTATTCTTTCTGCATGTTCTGAACATGTCGCAACATTCTCCGATTGGGATGAGTTTTGGGTGGGTTTATAGGCAAGGATTAGTTTTGGTTCGGCTTTGGAGAGGTTTGGTGTGGCTTCGGGTTTAGGTGGGGTTTAGAGCGAGGTTGGCGCTGGGTTTATTCTATTATGTTGTCTAAGGGCTCATTCAGGGTGGGTTTACAGTTGGGTTTAGGTGGGAGTTGAGTTGGTGTGGGCTTTGGGTTGGTTTAGGTTGGACTCCTCTTGGGGTACCATACATGTTTCCCAGAAAGCAGTCCACAGCCCCTTTTGGATACAAACGAAAACCATCGGGAAGCCGCCAACATGAGCCACAGTCTGAATACGAGTTCCCGTCCTGGCAAAAGGGGGTCCGTCCTCCCATTGCAGCAAAAAAGAGAGTCCCCCACGTCCTTGCCAAATCGACCATACATGGACTAGCCTAGATTTGGCCCGAAACTCACATGGGTCTCTCTCAAAATGGGCCTTCGGCAAAGTCGATTGGCTTGCCATGAAACAAGCCAACAAACCCTATCCACTGGTTTGTGTGTTTGCTCCAGATTCAACTGGAACAAGCCCATCTTTTTGAGAGGAACGTCCCTGCAGATTTCTTTTGCGGTCCATGTTTATTGGTCTCGTGGGTTTTTTCCCCGCGAAGTTTAGAGGGTTTGCAAAAACCAAGAGTTCCTCGGAATGGTATGGAGGGACTGGATGAGCTTTGGGATACTTTTGAGTTTGTGGCGAAACTGGATGAGTCGTGGTCAGTCTACTTCAAAGCAGGGCAAGACTACGTTTGATTGGTTTGAGATAACAGGTCTGTTGTGGGATTCAGAACATCTCGGTTGATAATGTCAACCAACCAGCTTTTGCATGAACGGGCTGTTTTGGTTGCATGTTTCAACATGGCAATAACAAATGGCTTGTGCTTCTCCGCCGGGTCATTTGGGTCTGGTAGGGAGCCCGGACGAAGCTTGATTGCAGGGTTTCCGGTGGATCTTTGAGTCTCAAGTTGGCTTGGCGGGTCAGTGTTGGCGTAAGCTTCATTGGGGGTGGCTTGTTTAGGACAATATTAGAGGGGGGGTTGGGTTGGTTGAGTTTTCGGGGTGGCTGAGGGCAAGTTAAGGGTGGGCTTAAGCTGGGTTGGTGTAGGGAGGGTTTGGGGTGGGGTTTGGGTAATTTAAGGTGGGACAGGCGGTAAGCCCACGAAGAGTCATAAAAGCTTCAAATGCCGCACAATGTTCCGAAAGCCACAGAGAACAAAACACAATTTGGGGAAACAAAATCCCTCCAAAGGAAAGTGTCTGTCTTGCCTCAAGCCACGCTACCCTGCAAAACAGTGCACAGAATTCGCTTCTACGCTATGGTGCCGCTGCTGGGTGCCGGACTTAACTGATTGGCTGGTGGTGGGATCCCCCACAATCGAACCTGAGATCGCTCTTGCGCGGGAACCAAGTCAAATCTTCCATGAGATCAGATTGCAGTTCCAGGTGATATCGCAAAAAACAAAGGGTGCGGATTGTTTTTGGGATGTTTTGTTTTTTTTCCCCGGATTTTTTTGGATTATGTTTTCTTCGTTTTTCGTCCGGCCAGTAAAATGTCGTTTTTTACAGCATTTTCTCGCGAATTGACGCATTTTACACTAGCCCGTCAACTTCCCCAGCATCGTCTTCAACATCCCCCGCATGTCCGACCAACATCCCTAGCATCACCAACAAATCGTGGGTAACAAAATCCAAAAAGTAGCTGGCGGGTTGACGGGGTCAAAAAAATAATGTTTCAAACAGGAGGGCATTTCAATCCCAGAAAACAAAACACTTTAAAAAAAAAAGCGGGGGGGTTAGGGGGGGTGGCAGCCCCCCCATGATGGTCGCAGAAGTGATGATTCGAATAGGGTGCAATTCAATCTCTGCAAAAAGTCTAAAAACTAGCGCGGGGGTTGGGGGGGCGGCAGCCCCCCCCATGATGTTCGAAGAATTGATGATTCAACTAGGGGTGCAATTAAATCTCTGTAGAACATCTAAAACGTAGCGGGAGGGTGGGGGGGGGGGGCGGCAGAGTAGTCGAGGGCCTTGCCTAGCAATAAATTGCTTTCATACGTACACCCCCCCCTACATTTTTTTTCATCTTCCATCTTCTACCCTTATTTGTTTTCATCATTTTTCTACATTCCTTTCTGTCCATCTCATCCGTTTTTTTATCATCATTTTTCCAAAATTTTCGCCATCCTTTTCTCCTTTCTCCTCGCCTCATTCATTCACCAACTACCCTCCAAAATGTCATTTCCTCAATCTCCTCGCCTCATCCATTTCAAAAAAAGAAATTTTGCAAAATATATTGCAAAAAATATTTGTCATCAAAAAAATATTCGAACTGTCTAAAAACGATTTGTCCATTTCCCGGACAAAAAATAGAACAGCAACAACATCACTCCCTCCTTCGTTCCATCAGTTTCATCATATATTTGTTTAGGCGTAGTCGCATAGCTTGCGAGCTTCGCTAACGCTCGCGTGTCCCTTGTAGGATTTTATCTTCAATATATAAAACGCTATACTTACATTATAATTATAACATATAAGGGTATAAATGTTATAATCATAGTATGATTAATAATTATGGGTTACATTTATAGTCAGGAAAAATGTCTTCAAATATGTAATCTACATATTTATCAATATCGCCAATGTCTATATATTTGATATTGTCTTTTCCTATTATTGAATAAATATATTCCCAGAAAAACAAATTAACTAGTAGCCATACTTGATATTTAGTGTTGTAGTAAGACCATACATGATATTTAGTTATTCTAAATTCATTCAAGACCTCGTTTATTTTATCTTTACTTAATAAATGCCAATCAATCGCATCAAACATGCCTCGATTTTTTTTAACAAATGCTTTATATGGTTTAATTGCGCTTGTCCCTCCAAACCTTTTAATCAAATCTTTATTATTGAAGAACTCATCAATTTCTTTTTCAAATGACTTTCTTGCATTTTTATGACAAAAATATACAGGAAATCTTTTGTGATATCTCATAAAGAATTTCAATTGTAATTGAAACTTTGTATATCCCTTATCCTTATATTTTTCAACAAAAAACTTTTCAAGGTCTCTTGTTATACAGCATTGATTACAATATACATCATATTCACTTATTTTACTACACAGATTAGCAGGTAATAACTTATACAATGTTATATTAACATCATTCCTTTTAGTTGTACAACATTCGCACTTTGAATAATTAAATAACATGTCCACTGTAATATATATATAGTGTTTATTTCTTTAAATACTTTTTTGCAAGAAATAAAATTACATATTGAAATATAATTATAACATATAATATTTTACATGTTGTTATTATATTATGATTATAATTTAAGTTCAGGATAATAATTTAATTGATATATCTTACCTCTTTCATACATCATTTTAAAAATAATATTAATATCTCTCACTGTATTTTTAACATTAAATTTTTCACTTTCAAAATATGTTTTTATGACTTTTTTTACATCAACGCCGGGTTTACTATAATAAATCAACATCCAGAATATGTGTGTAATAATGTCATACTTTTTCTTACTGATTTTTAGAAATGCTTTAACATAATCATAAGGTGGCCTATCGTACACAGTTAAAAATATCAATATTTCATCTTCAACATTTCTTTCATCTATATTTTTAAACGCCAAACAATTTTCTATTATATTTTGATATCGTCTCCATCTTCTACAAGTTCTACATATATTTTCTTCGTCCAACGCATAATCAATAATATTATTTATTATTCCATTAGGTAAATTCAATTTATATAATTCCATATTCTCTTTTTAAAGTGGCAACAATCGTAGCATTTCTTATTGATATAGTTATTGATTTCGGTGTCCACCATTTCTATTATAATATATAGTTTTTATTTCTTTAAATACTTTTTTACAAGAAATAAATTTATACCTTTAATAACTCATGTCTCAAAAATGCCCTGTCATAATTTTCAATATAATAATATTCCTGTCCTAACTTCTTTTCAATCTTTGCTATTTTGTAGGTGTGTTTAGTCCATACTCCTACTCTCTCCTTTTCGTTTGGTCTCCTTTTCCTGAATATCTTAACTTCATTTCCTACATTTAAATCTGGATAAACTCTATTTCTTTTGGCTTTCATACCTAAGTTTAAACTCACTTCTAATTGATGTTTAGGCTTTCTTGCTTCTGACGGTGTTAAGCCGTGCGAAGTGTGCTTTATTCCATTGTTATAGGTTAATATAATCTCGTGTATGTAGTCTGTCCATTGAATAGCCTTTCCTTTTTTCTCATCGTTTTCAACCCTCTTATACAAGCTATCTTTAAACGTCCTTATCGCCCTCTCCGCGAATGCTGGGTGACCTCTGGTTCTATGTAATTCTATTTTTTCATCTTTCAAGAAATCTATAACACTTTGATTATTATAAGCTCCTTCATCGTCAATATAAATTAGTTTGGGCTTTCCACCCATTTTTTTAATACATTCCATCAGTCCTGCTAAAATGTCCGCTGGCTGCTTTGACATAAGCGGGACAACAACCATATACTTAGAAAATATGTCAATACACATCATGCCAACTTTCATTTTTTGTTTAGGGATATCATTAATGAAAAATAAACCAGTTTGAAACTCATAACATGCGTTAGGAGCTACAAATGAATTCTGTCCTCTTGGCTTGGCTTTCTGTTCTACATTCTTCCTAAAAAAATCATTAATATCGTTTATAGTTATTGTGTTATCCTTTTTTCTTGCTTCTTGTAAAGTGCGGTTCTTTGACCCGAAGCCTCCCTTATCATAATAAACATTATTAATAATATCTTGCTTGGATGCCATATAAAATAAGATAGATATTATTTTTCCCGGCGATTACAGTTTAAACAGTAAGATATACAGTTTTCCTTATGATGGGCATAATCGTTGTTTATTCTTTGGGCTGTCATATTGCTATTTATTACTCCATTATTTATTTCTATGTCAAAATCTGAACTGCATTTATTACATCTGGTATTAAGCCTGTCAAATAACCATTTGACATCAATATATTGTTTGTTGTCTATCTCTCTCTCTGCTTTCATGTCTTGTAATTTATATTGTTTAATCTTATGTTCTAAATATCTGGTTACTTGTGCTTCATTTAAATCAGTATCATCTACGTCTGCTTTGAAAAACTTGACTTTATTGATATCTCTGCATCTCGTGAGGGCTGTCCAAATCCACTCACGGCTGACCAAATGTGATTTATCCCATTCGTGTATAGTAATGCTTTTATCTAGAGAAGCCCCTTGGGACGAATGACATGTAGCACAATACGCATGTATAAAGCGCTTGTCTAAAGTCGTGGTGTTTGTCATGAATATAGCTTTACTTTTGATATCTTGGATTTCTACTTTCCAATCATCAATACTAATAATTTTATAAGTAATATTTACATTAAACACCTGCCCCATTTCTTTTTTATAAACTCTGCATATCACATGCTCTCCAATTTCATATTTATCTGTCTTTCCTAAATTATTTCTTACGGTTTTGCTCACCCATTTGCACCTAGCATTAGTATAGGCTATGTTATGCTCTCCTTCCATGATGTCGCTTGTAGTTTCAAAATGTTTATTTACTATTTCCTTAATGTGCAGTTTATTTTTCCAAATGTCATTATATATATCATTCAATTTAATTTTATCTTCTTCTGTCTTAAGTCTCTTAGATATCTTAAGATAAATCTTATATTTAAATATTTGATTAAGACAGTTGTTTAAATATGTCTCGTGGTCCTGGGTGTTAGTTAAATCAGCTATAGGTTTCAACTGCTTCCCGTCAGCAGTTCCTATAATTATCTTCTCTGGGTACGTATCCTTAAACTCCCTAACTCTGTTCAAAATATAATTGCCCGACATACCTAGCTCATCAAACACAATACAATTATAATCAGAATGGTCAAATGTCGGTAGTCTTGCTCCAGCTTCTATTGGAATACTGAAAAACTTGTTTAATGTTACGGCGTCGGCTTCGGTTTCTTGCTTCTGCTTGTTATTAGAACATACGAATAACACATTATAACCTAGATTTTTCATATATTCGCCTATATAACTCTTGCCGCTTCCAGCCAGTTTTGCTTTTATCAACACCGGATTACACGACACAATTTGCTCACAAATGCTTTTGGTGTCGTATTCGTCTTTAACATGAATTTTTACATTATTGTAAGTCGGAATTTCTGATAACTCATTAACCTTAATTTTGTATATATCACTCGGTGGTGATACTTGTTTATTATCTTCAGCTCTCCATCCTCCCCTTTTGGTTGAAAACTTAATCAATGTTTTGGCCTTGTCAATATTTTTCCTATCAATAATGAAGGCATCGGTTTTAACACTATGCACATTGATATTGTT